GGAATGACTACCATCAACAGTTTTACTGTATATCATGCCAAGATTGCAAGAAAGTCGATCATGGACTAACATCAACCTTAAACCCTTTGTCATGCACTAATCTTTGGGAGTGGGAAGTGACACACATTATCGTAAGAGCCACGACCCAAGTGTCGAAACTCGGATCCATACCCGCGATATTCAAAACTGCAATTTTGATTTAAGGTTGGTGTCCGTCTTCAGATCAGTGAGTGACGCCCTAGTGAACACATATCTGTGGGCAAACAATGCTTCGCCCCACCGAAGTAATTATTTTTACTATTCCACACGGTGTTGTGAGTGAGAGTGAAAGCGAGTTGATTGCAGTATAATTCGGTTCTGGTTCCGTTCTTTTATCATTCATCTGGTGTCAGCAAAGTGCGATGCGTTGCATGCAGTTCTCCCATTACAGATGGTGTAAGGGCTCTGTGCCACCTGAATGTACATAATATACTGATAGAGTAACCTACAGCTTCGGTGGTGACTGCTGCCTCAGTTGTGAAGGTGTTGAGCAGCAAAAGAGCACAGACAATGTAGAAGAACATATCCGATTCTGCTGAACTGATGGTGAATGATCGGTGACTGGGCTTATTTATACTGCATTACCTAAAAGTGGAGAACAATGCCATTGTTCCCAAAATCGCAGCTGTTCCCGCAGTCAGAAGCGATCACTGTGATTTTTAATTTCTTTCACAAGTTTTTGCTTGAATCACTGTGAAAACTTCTTTAAGAACAAAATTTTCGAGAAAATCGATAGAAATACAGGGGTCAACAGATCTACTTTGTCGAAGACTTCGAAAAATGAGAGATGTCCAGACGGTTGCGCGTGGTCTCTGATTTTCCGGTGGCTAGACTTCTGGTTTCGAATTTGATGATACTACTTTCATCAGCGAATGCAGGAAACTGAGACGATTTATAGGAAGCAAACACTAGATGACTTGAAAGAGCTTGAGGTCTCACGTATTTGTTTGTGATTATGAGCAAAACTCAAGCCCGGGTTGGGTCTGGTACAATCCAATCTGCTAGACTATACAGCAAGGTTCATAAACTACCTTACTTCAATTTGAAAACAGAAAGTTTTGGTAAGAGCTCAGGGACCACGAAAAATAGGTGTTTGGGTAGTTAGGTAAAAATAGGTAGTTTATGATCCTTGCTGTATAGTCCAGCAGATTGGATTGCACAAGACCCGACCGAGGCTTGAGTTTTGCTCATAACCACAAACAAATACGTGAAACCTCAAGCTCTTTCAAGTCATCTAGTGTTTGCTTCGCTGACACCAGATGAATGATAAAAGAACGGAACCAGAACCGAATTATACTGCAATCAACTCGCTTTCACTCTCACTCACAACACCGTGTGGAATAGTAAAAATAATTACTTCGGTGGGGCGAAGCATTGTTTGCCCACAGATATGTGTTCACTAGGGCGTCACTCACTGATCTGAAGACGGACACCCACCTTAAAACAAAATTGCAGTTTTGAATATCGCGGGTATGGATCCGAGTTTCGACACTTGGGTCGTGGCTCTTACGATAATGTGTGTCACTTCCCACTCCCAAAGATTAGTGCATGACAAAGGGTTTAAGGTTGATGTTAGTCCATGATCGACTTTCTTGCAATCTTGGCATGATATACAGTAAAACTGTTGATGGTAGTCATTTCTATGAGCTCTAATTATATGACTAAATCCATTTTAGCCATGCGTAGACAGAGGAGGTGAAGCATACTGCTCGGTCCACATCGGCAGCCCCGATTACATATGCACCAATGTGGAGAAATACTACCTTGCCTCGCAGCTCTGCGCCAAAACATGCGGTGTTTGTTTGTGATTGTTTCGCAAGGCCAATCAAGAATAAACCTTCTCGCAGAGTTTCTTTTTTATTTGTATACGGCTAATTTGAAACTAGGTTGTCTAGAGTGATATCTTCACTCTGACTTGTTCTCCACATCCGTTCACATTTTCACATGCCGAAATTTTGGAAAATTATATTGGAAATGAGAATCAACAATTGTGTTATACCTTGATTTTGTTGACCTTCCCTCTTCTTGTGATAGGCGATGCAACTCAGTACAGGCCATGGCTGATTGAATTATTGCTTGCCAACATCATTTTTTCAGTTTTTGCAGGGATCGTACTCTCGGTGTTTCTGACACAGACATAAATTTACACTCTCGACCACTCCACTATATCTGTCTCCAGTAACATTTCACGAAACATAGTTCAGCTCTGTGTTAGAAAGTCTGTTGCTCCCCCGGTGCATGCATGTCTGAACATTCCACCCTTTAGGGAATGTTGTTGTTTTGTGTGGAAAGTTGTTGTTATAACCACAAACAACAAACGCTAGCTGCTTCGAAACTTGTGTTTTTCTACCTCAATTACGATTACATACAACTGATAACGAGGTGCTTCAAAGATAGTATTACTGCACTCGGTAGACGCTTCAATCTACTGCCAAAGAACAATGAGATCTTGGAGAAAGCTCTTTTCCCCCAGACAGTACGCGCGGCTGACACTGATGACTAAAGCACACTAATTGACGACACTTAGGTCTGTAAATGTCCGATCACAGAAGCAGCGCCGACTTCTCTCTTCTTTCAGAGCAGGCCCAAGCACGCAAGCTGCTGAAAACGAGCTGAGGGTTTTCTGCACGGCGACATCAGTACCATATCCTATGAGCAGGCACAGGCGAATACTTGGTATTGATTTCAGACCTGTTTGGTATTTCTTCTGCGGTAGTGTTCTTCATTGGCCAATTAGAAAATTCATTTTCGAGCGTTCTATTTTCAGCCTACTTGACTCCCAGTATCGGTTTTGGTTTAGCCATGTAAGCAACGACGTCCTGACGCGAGATGTTAAAGGTTTCGGCTGTGAGTGACGATCTAGTGAAATACTATCGGTAGTCGCAAGAAAATATTCATGTTTCTTTCAAGTAGGCTTCCAACCAATATTCAGTT